CATTTCCTTCCCTTGAATGTTACTACACAAATCTATTGGTTGTTACAGTATAATTGACCTTGGCCATCAGTGTTACTTTGAAATTTTTTGAGGTCATGAAATTCAACCATTTTCGTCCTGACTCCTTTGACTTTGGCCAAGAAGTTACATAGATGGTCAAACTGTTCCAAAGTCTCTCACGATACTGCCCTGAGCTGTCCCTGTGATCTGTACTTGTGATCCAGTTATTGGTGTCTCTCCAATGCTGTGGAACTTTACATGACCTTCACTTAGTGGGGCAAGAGAGAGAATAAAATCTCAATGCTTCAAGAAATTACACCACGTTGCAGGAATTTTGTAACGTAATTGACAGGTAAAATCAAAATGTAGCAGTAATTTATACTAAGCTAACATGAATATCTAACTTTGGAAGAAAGAGGTAGGAGTTTATGAAGTCTAACCAGAATAAATAGCTTACACCCACTCGACAATTGCTGGTTCCGACAATTGTGCTGAAACCACATAATGGCAAACATTTCCTATTTCTATTTATCGCTGTTGTTTCTTCTCATTTTCAACCTATCGCTTGATATTTATTAATTATTCATGGAAAAATAGGGAAAGCCTCTTCAAATTAAGTCACAGATCTACAATACAGTATTCGTGCATTCACCAAAAAGGCCATCAGAGAGCCAGTATTTCAGTGTTTCTCCTCAGCTAGCCTTCATCTAAAGCCAATATATTCATCTAGAACATCAAATAAAAATGGCAGAGCTTGCTTTGCAAATAAATTCATATCTTCTTCTTAAACCATGATATTTTCATTGCCTTTAGTCCACAGGTACAATAATATTAATACAAATCCTTGCAATTGATATACACCATTTCAATGTCTTAAAGCACTTCCCAGGATTTACTATAAAGTGTATTGACTGTGTATTTTGTACGCAAATCCTGCAGATAATTTTGGACGCAGCAATGTCGCACAGGCAGCCTTGATGTGAATGACCAATTTTATTTGGGGATGGGGGGGGTTGTTGGCCAGGACATCGAAGAAATTTGAATAGTGTCATGTCCACTTGAACAGACAGACAGGACCTTAGATGTCTCATCCAAATGAAGGCACCTCCAACAACTCTCCCTGATCAATGTACAACAACAACAACAACAACAACAAGATTCCATTTATAAAGTGCCTTTCACATCAGGAGGACGTCCCAAGGCGCTGCACAGTTGGGTCATGACCCGAGCAGGGGGGAAATGGTCAGGGTGAGGGGAGGGAAGGGAGGGAGCGAGGAGGGGGAAATGGTCAGGGTGAGGGGAGGGAAGGGAGGGAGCGAGGAGGGGAAATGGTCAGGGTGAGGGGAGGGAAGGGAGGGAGCGAGGAGGGGGAAATGGTCAGGGTGAGGGGAGGGAAGGGAGGGAGCGAGGAGGGGGGAAATGGTCAGGGTGAGGGGAGGGAAGGGAGGGAGCGAGGAGGGGGAAGAGAGTCGAGAGGGGAGCTGAAGACTGAAGGTCAAAGAGAAAGGTTTTGAGACCGGCCTTCAAAGAGGAAAGGGAGGAAGCGGCGAAGGCACTGGGGGATAGAGTTCCAGAGCCTGGGGGCTGAGAGGCTGAAGGCCCGACCACCGATGGTAGGGCGGTTGGGGCGGGGGACGTGGAGCAGACCGGAATGTATTCGAGAATCAGCCTAGACTGTGAATTTGAAGTCATGATGTGGGGCTTGAACCACAACCTTCTGACTCCGGGGCGAAAAAGCTACCAAATGAGCCAGACGTCAGTGAGTTATAACAAAGTGTTAAAAAATGTCCGATCTCTGGATCATAGCATGTATGTGTAGCGTGCAAGAAGTGACATCAGCAACACTACCTGCAATTAGCATGCATGCTCCCTCTCCGACCTCCTAACCCCCTACCACCTTCTTCGCTCCCTCCACTCAGCAGGCTCCGGCCTGCTTCACGGACCCCGCCTTGCTCGACCCACTATTGGCGGGCGGGCTTTCCGCCACTCTCTGGAACTCCATCCCGCAGTCCCTCCGTCTCGCCCCCTCCCTCACCACCTTCAAGACCCTCCTCTTCGACCGGGCTTTCGATCTCCCTGCTCCCCCCAGCCCCCTCCCTGCCCTCCACCCTCCCCCACCCTGATCCTCAGCTCGGGTCCGTAACTCTGTCTGGATGTCCTCCCGACGTAAAAGGCGCTATACAAATGTAATTTTTTTGTTGTTATTGTTGATTACTTCACTGTGGAAATCAACCATCTTTAAACACTAGACACTAGTTAGTCACTGCTGAAAGCTGAATCTACCAGTAATAACATGAGTTCATGGTAATTCCATGTTCTAAGCGAACATGCACTCAACCAGGGTCTGTTCTAATGTGGCGCCCTGTAAATATACACAGGTAAAATCTGTAACATGGAGTGAATAGTATAATTCTGTCTGACAGCATCCAAAGCACAGTGTTCCACTGTGGGATGCGTATATTTGTTGAAAACAAGCCTTTGGATTCAGAAGGCTTTATTTCAGGAATTAGGGTCCAGCACCATATCCCTTCTCATCAAATTGTGGTGCAGTATTCCATCTGTCCAGTCATGCTATTCAGTCATGGGAGCTTTCCTTGTCCATCATGTCAGCTAAGAAACAAAACACAAAAGTAAATAATAATCGTAAATTTCAACAGTTAAGTGTTGAATAACACTCTCATGCAGTATGTTTCGGGCGAGTATTACATTTCAAGGTTGAGATGACATTGATAAACCACTTGAGCTTCGGTCTAGTTGTTTACACTCACTATTTGGCTGCCACACTGCAAAAATAAGTTATAACACACTCTTGTGATTATGTTGTGATTTTGTCATTTCTTCAGTCTGGAATCATGCTTTTTGGTGCTAAAACAAAACAACTTATGGATAGTCTGTTCCAAGAATTCTATGATGCATCTATTTTGGCATGATCTACCTACTCGAGTGGAGAGTTGACCAAGCATTCGTAAGTAATGTTCAGTGCCAAAGAGGGATGCGCATGGACTGGATGGATGGGGGTGTGCAATGTTCTGGATCAGATTTGCACGATACGGGCAGGAAATAAGAGGTTTTATTGCATGGTTTTGTGGTATATGCCCAGTCTGGGTGAGATAAGCATTAGGATTTTCTGGATCATGAGTGGGATTTACGACATCTAGATTGGAAGGCATGGCCTCGGTGAGATGTGTACTGTGTGTGAGGATGGATGCACTTTCTTTGTGTTCCTTTGCATGCTGTATGAAGACTGAAATCCCTCCGCCTCGCCCCAGCTCGTCTCCTTCCAGACCTGTCTCAAGACCCATGGCCTCGCCCCACCCTACCTCTGCGACCTCCTAACCCCCTACCAACCCGCCCGCTCCCTCTGCTCAGCCGGCTCCGGCCTGCTCCACGTCCCCCGACCCACCCACCCGCCCCACCATTGGTGGGAGATCCTTCAGCCACTCTGCCCCCAACCTCTGGAAATCCATCCCCCAGTCACTCCGCCTCACCCCCTCCTTAGTCTCCTTCACGTCCCGCCTCAAGACCCTCGTCTTCGACCATGCCATCGGCCAACCCCTTCCCCTCCCTTCCCCCCCCACCCAACCCCAGCTCGGGTCTGAAATGCTGTACTCTGTCCAGCGCCTTGGGATGTCCTCCTGACGTGAAAGGCGCTATACAAATGTAATCTTGTTGTTGTTGAGTTGTAATGTGCAACCATGGAGGTTGATGCTGCCAGAGTCTGCGGGGGAGGAGGCGCTGGTGCGAGTCAATCAGGAGGGCCTCAGTCTTGTTCACATTCAACTGTAGGAAATTTACAGTCTGGTCTGTGTAGTGTGTGTGTGTGTGTGTAGTCTGGTGTGTGTACAGTCTGGTCTGTGTACAGTGTGTATGTGTACCGTCTGGTGTGTGTACAGTCTGAGTTGTGTACAGTTTGGGCTGTTTCCAGTGTGTGTACAGTCTGGGCTGTGTACAGTGTGTGTGTAGTGTGGGCTGTGTACAGTGTGCAGTGTGGGCTGTGTACAGTGTGGGCTGTGTACAGTGTGGGCTGTGTACAGTGTGGGCTGTGTACAGTGTGGGCTGTGTACAGTGTGCAGTGTGGGCTGTGTACAGTGTGGGCTGTGTACAGTGTACAGTGTGGGCTGTGTGCAGTGTGGGCTGTGTGCAGTGTGGGCTGTGTGCAGTGTGGGCTGTGTACAGTTTGTGCTGTGTACAGTGTGGGCTGTGTACAGTTTGTGCTGTGTACAGTGTGGGCTGTGTACAGTGTGGGCTGTGTGCAGTGTGGGCTGTGTACAGTGTGGGCTGTGTGCAGTGTGTGTGCAGTGTGGGCTGTGTACAGTGTGTGTACAGTGTGGGCTGTGTGCAGTGTGGGCTGTGTACAGTGTGGGCTGTGTACAGTTTGTGCTGTGTACAGTGTGGGCTGTGTGCAGTGTGTGTGTAGTGTGGGCTGTGTACAGTGTGTGTACAGTGTGGGCTGTGTGCAGTGTGTGCAGTGTGGGCTGTGTGCAGTGTGTGTGCTGTGTGTGTGCAGTGTACAGTGTGTGTGCAGTGTGGGCTGTGTACAGTGTGTGTGCAGTGTGGGCTGTGTACAGTGTGTGTGCAGTGTGGGCTGTGTGCAGTGTGCTGTGTGTGTGCAGTGTGGGCTGTGTACAGTGTGTGTGCAGTGTGGGCTGTGTGCAGTGTGTGTGCTGTGTGTGTGCAGTGTGGGCTGTGTGCAGTGTGTGTGCTGTGTGTGTGCAGTGTGGGCTGTGTGCAGTGTGTGTAGTGTGGGCTGTGTGCAGTGTGGGCTGTGTGCAGTGTGGGCTGTGTGCAGTGTGTGTGCAGTGTGGGCTGTGTGCAGTGTGGGCTGTGTGCAGTGTGTGTGCTGTGTGTGTGCAGTGTACAGTGTGTGTGCAGTGTGGGCTGTGTGCAGTGTGTGTGCTGTGTGTGTGCAGTGTACAGTGTGTGTGTGGCGGTGACGCTGTGCCCGGGGGGGGGGGGGGGCCCGGGGGGGGGGCGGGGCGGCGGCTGCGCGCTCGGTGGTTAAATCCGGCCAATCGGCTCCTTCTTCTTCCTTTACCGCCATCGGAGAGCCGCTCCCGCACCCGCACCGCAGCCGCTCCGGTAAGAGATGAGGCCGCGACGTGTCCGCGGGAGGGAGGGAGGGAGAGAGACATGAGGAGAGGGAGGGAGGGAGGGAGGGAAGGTGAGAGAGGAGGGAGGGAGGGAGGGAGGGGAGAGGTTGAGCCGTCGGCGGCCCTGTGAGTGAGTGAGTGAGTGAAATGCCGCAGCGCTGAGGCGCTGCGTGTCTCGTGGAGCCGCCGTCGCGCGGGCAACGCGGAGCTGGTGGTGGCGGCCCGCGGGCCGCACGCGCGCGCGTCTCTGCCTCTGTCTGTCTGTCTGTCTGTCTGTCTGTGGGGGTGTCTCTGAGGGTGTGCGGGTGGGTGTGTGTCTGTCTCTCTCTGTGTCTGTGCTGTGCTGTGAGGAGAGGAACGTGGACTGACGGCGGCGGCGGCGTGTGTGTTAATGATGAAGATGGAGGAGGAGGAGGAGATGGGGGGGAGGAGGGAGGAGGAGGAGGAGGAGGGGGGGGGAAGAGGCGGAATAAACCCCCGCGGGGAAGGGGGGGGGTAGTGAGGGCGGGGTGGGGGGGGGAAAGAGAGAGAGAGGAGAGGGAGAGGGAGGGGGGGATTGGGGTTGGAAGACGGCGAGGAGGAGGGGGGGGCGGTCGGTGTGGATGAAGATGTCGGACTTGTCCCCGTCTCCCCCCCCTCCCCCCCCCTCCCTCTTACTTACATACAGAAGAAGAAGAAGAAGCTGCGTGTGTGAGGCGAGGCGAGGCCTGACCCCGGCCCCGGCCCCGCGCCCGCGCCCCGCGCGGCTTGTGTCGCACTTCAGATTATGTTCCCTCCTCCCCCCCCTCTCCCCTCCTCCCCCCCATCTTCCCCCACACCCCCTCCTCAACAGGTCTGCAGCCACGACTCCCAGTCTGTTGGGGGGAGGGGGAGGTGGTGGTGGGGGGGGTCCCTCTTGTTGCTCTGTGTTGTGAGTGTGTGTGTGTCTCGGCGGCCGTTACTGCGGTGGGGCGGAGGCTGCAGCACGTGGCGGTGTGTGGAAGCGCCCGTTAGTCCTGGGGGTGGGGGTCGGGGGGGGGGGGGGGGGGGGGTAAAGCAGCCCCTCCCTGAGCCACTGCACCTCACACTCACCGCCAGCCATCTCTCTCTCTCTCTCTCTCTCCTCCCCCCCCCCCCCCCCCCACTCGGGAGTTTAGATGTTTTTAACAGCCCCCACCCCCCCCCTCCCCCCCCCACCCCACGCCCCCGTTAAAAGAGATTTAAAGCTGGTGCTCCCGATCAACGGGCAGTCAAGTCAGTTCCACGCGTTGTTGTGCGACAAAACATAATAAAATCTCTGGAGATCCCCCCCCCACCCCCCCCCAAAAAAAACTTCCGTGGCTTCAAAGAGGACTTCGCTATCACGGCCCTTTTGGTTGTTCGGCACAAGGCCGAGCTATCGTTCAGACGTCTGGAAGACGTGAAAAAAGTGCTGGATCAAATGCCAGGATTATTATTATTATTATTATTATTTTTGTTATCATCTTCACCTCTCTACTCGCCCCCCCCCCCCCCCCCCCCCCCCCCGCCGCCCCCTTCTCCTTTCGGTTGGGATATTGGGCGAAGCGAAAAGGCTGCGTGGTACCGACCGTAGGGCGGAGAGACTCGTTCCAGCGATCTTAAAACTCATTTCTGAGGCGCGTTGTAGCGGGTAATGGATTATTTGCGACCCGACTGAGTCGTATGCCGGAGCGTAAACATTGTAACTTTTTTTTAAAAATACAACTCTTGCTATGGTCAACATATTTAGTTTTGATTCTATCTTACCCCATCACAAGCCACTGTAGTTATAGTAAACAAGAAAAATCTGATAAAGCCGAGTCTCGTCGACAGCTTGTCCTTAATCAAAAGTTTGTGTCACAGGATTGAGTTAAGATCAAGATCTGAAGAGGTCCAGTCTGAATATTTGCAAGTTTTTTCCCCCTCTAAACGTAGGGTGCAAAAGGCTTTTAACGTAGATAAGAATTTGCCCTTTCATCAAATCTCAAATCACTAAATGTTAAGTATACATTAGAATTTTTTTTCGAATTGGTACTCAATTGGTAGGTATATTCGCACATAATTTATGGAAATAAGATTTAATTTCTAAACCATTGTTTAACTGTCCCGTTTAGTCTACACTTTAATAGAAATTAATGTAAAAACAGTAAGCATTATAACTGTGTTTCCTTGCGATTCCCTCCTGCACAGCAACCTTGAATGCTAGTACAGCTCCTGTGTCAACTATAAAAAGGTTTGTTGGTGGGGAAAAATTTGTCTCAGGGACAAACTGGGAGAGTGTTCACTCAGTATCGTTCAATTGAGTTGGCGAGCTTTGTCTATCCGGAGTCATGGAGATGAACCTGATGCTGTGGTAACTCTACATTTGGATTCTGGTTCACTAATAACTTGGGGATGCATTTGACATATTCATCCTAAAGAAGAGGTTTAAATGTAAAACTGATCATTTCTTTTAAAAAAAATGTTTGGGGAGAGAGATAGAAAAAGGCCGCACTCGGAAACCAGGAAATATTGACTTTGAGAGATGTGGATTCTGGTTGACAAGTTGCCTTATGCCGACGAGTAAAATTATATTTTCTGGGACAAATATTTCATCAGTCAATATTGCCACATGGATGTACCATGTGGTGCGTTTATGCACTCAATCACCAGTGAGCCCGCCATATATATTTAAAGTGTACCCCGAATACCTTCAGGATAAGCAATTTGTTAGACGTTTTGTAACAACCTTTTTTGAAAGTTTGCATGAGGTTAGCGTTTGTTTGACGTCTCTAGAGTTGGCCCTACTCTTAAGTTAGCAAAACTGGGATTATTAAGCACCGCACGAGTTTGTTTTTAACTTCTGTATCCTGTGGATACGTGGTTATTGAAAGGGCAGTGCACGTTGGTGTGGACGACACGTGCAGGAAGTAGCTGGTCAGTGCTGGAAGTGGCATCTTTAGTGATTTGATGACCTGCAAATAGGACTGGCAGCCGTTATTAGGTGGTGTCTGGATTTCTGAATCTGAAGCACCTCATTGTTATGTGGTCACCCTATACTGGAGTTGATCTTTACTCATCTTAATTTCTATTGCCCCGAAAATAAATCACGTTGGTTACTAATCCTGGAAATGCAATCCGAGTTGAGATTTTGCATCCTCCTTACTTGGTGCCAGGGAAGCAGTAAATTAATAATTGAAGAATTTTTCCAGTAAACGTGCAGTTGAGTGTTTGTATGAAATTTGTTCAGTTAAGTAGCATCTCTCTGCTGCCATTGTCATTGCTTTTGTTAGAGCAGCAGGGTTGCTAGGAGTTGAGGTTAAGCAAAGATATGAGAGCGTCTACTCCAATGCTACAAGATGGTGGTCAGTTAGAACACAGTATGTTTCGCTCCAGAATTCATATCTTGACTTCATTAACGTAGATGTGCTTTTCAGTGTATACCTACATTGTGATAAATCCTTACCATGTGTAGTCTAGGCTGACACTACATTGCAGGGTTGGGGGTATTCTGCGTTCTGGGAATGCCGTCCTTCAGATGAGATGTTAAGCTTGAGGTCTCGTCACTTGTTCGGGTGGATGTTAAAGATCCCATGGTACTATTCAAAAAGAGAAGGGAGTTTCTTCTTGTGTCCTGATAAGCAATCTCCCAGATACAAATTGGTCATTCAGTTGAGGGGCATTGATGTGTGCTTGTCCAGACAGTGCTTCAGTGGCAAGTAATATGGTTTTAACATAATCCAACACATAGTGTGATCCTGAAACCTTGGTTCTTGCCAATCTGTGCGCAGCCTTCTCTGGAATTAGATAGGCAAGGTGCATCTTTTTAGGGAGTGTGTGCATTCCACTTCAGACATGGAAATTTCCATATGTAAGTGTCATGCATGTGTGGATACCATTGGTGATGGGATTCTGCATGAATCCAGCACATGGCTGACCAAAACCAATTATTTCTTTTTCTGAATACCCAATTATCCTTTTTTGACTTGTTCTAGCTGACTCATCTCTTGTTCTGTTCTTAGGAATGGTCATTTTCTCCTTATTTGCTGTCCAGCGCACTGCTCTTCAAATCCATGGGACTCTCCTACCTGCCTTTCCTATGCAATATTTAATATCATGGTTAATCCTAGGCATTATCCTCTTCTCACTCCATTGGTGCATCTTTGATGGCTGAGCTCCTTGGAAGGTGCTGTCCCACGTTCCATTCTATAAAGGTCTTCAAAAATTGATCGCCATTTGAAGAGGTTGAACTGTACAAGATCAGAAGCAGCTGTTTAAAACTGCATCTTTCTAACACTTTCATGTAACCTTAACAACAATATTTCATGGGCAAATATCTTCTCATTCAGTACAACAGTGTCTGGCGCTGGAATTGGACAACCAAGACAATTACAGAAGCTGGTGATTATGACATTCAGTTGCCAGGGACAGCAACTTGTTGGTGTTGAAGCTATAGACATAGGTGAAAACAATAGGTCACCTGTTCAAGACTGTTGAAATATTTAGCAGTTTGCAATTTGTGCATTGTTTTACTTACTGAGTGAGAAGGTAGTCCTATCAAATATTGTTGTAAAGTTTCAGAAAATAGACTGATCGGTGAATGATTTGGGAACCACAGAGGAAATAATGGTGGTTTCCAAATCTGATAAATGCAAACTTTGTGCATGATAACACTGAGCCATTTACTGAGCGGTGCATCATGTAGATGTTTAAAAATGGCATGGGTGAATATAAGTGCTTATCCTGCAATCGTCCTATGAAAACATGATGGATAACAAGCTGAGCACTTGGTTGATATTTTTGGTACTGCACAAAAATGGTTTGCTTTTTCGAAAAAGGTTTCTGATCTTGTACAGTTCAATTTATTTAAATGGTGATTCACTTTTGAGAATGACGTTGTTTAAAAATTGGGAGATGAATCTTGCAATTTGTGCAACAATTTATCCATTTGAAACATAACTAATGAGTGGACAGACACCCTTAATAGTTTCTGGGTATGAATCAAACTTGCAGATCCATCTTTCTGGTTGT